ATATTTAAATAATTTTTAAATCAAAAATATTAATAAAAAACTATTACTGTTAACTTACCGTTTAAATGCGCTCACACACTTCACTCTCTAATATTCATACACACTGTTAGTTACTCCGCTACTCGTCGCTGTTATTAACATAACRTAATGTGTTATAACTCGCTTCGTCACATTTGATATCAATTTTTGGTGCGATCGTTTTCTAAGGTTTACCGGTCTTGTGCGCAAACGCTCATGCATAATTTATTGTTGTACTTCGGCATTTGCATATGGACGTCAGAGCATACGAGCATATGTGTTGTAGATATGTATACAAGCCTTTAGATAACTATACATATGTCTTCATATACATACTCACTATGGGTATGTAAGTATGTTTGTGCTTTATTAAATGCATTGAAAGCCACTTAATAGGCAACACAGCAATATATTAACATTCTAAACCAGTCGAAAAATATATTTTGACAGCGTCAATACGAATTTTTCGTTGCCTTAATGTTTCTATTAAACGGTCGAGAACGAAACACATACTATTTGAACATATATGAATGCATACATATATACTTATATGCATATATATGTAGGTAGATACATGCGTACATGTGAACGTACTTGCTTATATACATATRTACTTCTATGCATACATATATTATTTTTATTAACAAATATAATATATTTGTCTTTTGTCTCGTCGGCAATCATTCGGTCACTTCATTATAACGTCGTTTTGTCATTTTGTCGCTTTGTTTCTCATTCACACCATTCGTCGATTACTCATACGCCGCGTCTGTCGATGATTATTTTTTGGCTTAAATTATGGCTAACAATCAGGTCGCGCTCAATTCGTGAGACCTTCATTTAGTCATTGCTAACCATATGTATACCCACTTGTATACCTATATATATAATATGCGCGTTTGTAGCGAAGAGAGCGAAATCTCACACATTTCGTGTCTTTTTACGTGCTTACAYACACACACATGCGCATATACATACATACACGATTTTTGTGTCTTATTATTTCTTCATAATTTACTTGTACATACATATATATTTTATTTGCTGTCGCTCTGCTTTGYCATTCATCTTCACCGGCTCAGTTCAGTGCCGCTGGTTCACCGATCCGCCGATCTGCTGACCGCGCGTCATTTTGCATTTTTGTTTTGAAATCAAAGCTGTCGCAGTTCAACACAATTTTTACGAATTTTTCGGGAGTCTTCCAAGGTTCCAAAGTSTTAAATAAAGAAATTCGTCGAAATATAATTTTAGAAAGTCGTGCTTCTTTCTACTTCCAAGTGCATACAGTCATATTTTAATACATAGGTCGGTACTGTTTGTCATTGTGCGTGTTTAAATATTCTCGTATTAATGTCTAATTGTTGTACCAAAAATGCTCGAAGGTAAATTTACACTGCGTTKTTGTTGTTGCAGCGCCATTATTTCTAGTGTGTTGTCAGTAACCTGTTTATGAAATTCAATTTGTGMGCGTGTGTGTGTTAAATATTATGTTTTGTTTTTTCTTTAGCGTGCGTCGCAATTCATATTTTAGTTTTTATGGACACGTGCGTCGGTTAAATGTATTTACACATTCACCTGTTGAGTGAAGCTCAAAAATAGTTGCGGCGTTAAAAGTACAAAAGCTGTGTGTCGTCAAAAATTTTCGCTTATAGAATTGTATGAATGAAAGTATAATGTAAATATGTGCCGACTTCAATTGCAAAAAATATATATGTAATTGCGTTGAATTGTGTTTAGATGCTTTGTATACTGAAGCGCTTTTAAGTTCTGATGACATCACTTGTGGCCGAAATTAGAAGAACTGAATTTCTGTAATGAAATTTGTTGTGAAATGTTGTAATAAATTTGTAAAATAAATTTATAAATGGTATATGCRGAAACAAAAGAATTGCTTTGTAGATGTCATTGAAGGTTATCACGTGATAAAGTGAATTTTTATAATCACTTTTTAAAACTCAAATTATAAGAATTGTTTTTGTAGTGTTCATTAAAATAGAGTTAGAGAAGGCATACATGGCATAGTATTTATGAAATTTTAATTTTGAAAATTTAAAAAGAGTTGATATGACACATCACATGATGTTTTTTATAAACATTTCGAATTTAACTGTTATGAAATAAAAAAAATGTGTAAAATTTCAGTTTTCAAAATTTCAAGTGGTGTTGATTTTTTTTTGTAATGCAATTAAAACTTCATGATTATATCTGTAAAATTTCAATGAATTTTTCATGTGCTATTGAATTTTTCATGTGCTGTTGATGTGATGATATCATATGATGTTTTCTATATCGCAAGGAAAACGTTTCGATTTTAACTTTTATCGAAAATAACAATTTGTAGAATTACAAATTTTAAAATTTCAAATAATTTTTACAGCTGATGTGATATCATCATATGATATTTTACGTATGATGAGGATTTTAACTGGTATTATATAAAAAAAAAAAAATAATATTTTAATTTTGAAAATCTGAAATGATATTAATGATTTTGTGACCACATCATGTGATGTATTATATAAACGCTTGTAAATTATCACGTTTTCGACGGATATTAATTTAAAATACATTTTATGTATTTTAATTGATATTGATTTCAAATTTWCAATTTTAAAAATATCAAACTATTCTTAGTGATAATGTGACCACATCATATGATGTTTTCTGTATAGCTTGTAAGATGAAGAAATTTTAAATAATATTCATTTAAAATAAAATTTTTTCAATATTGACAATATCAAATGATTTTCAGTGTTGATGTCACCTCATATAAAATGTCGCGTTAGTTAAACTAATATTTATTTAAAATAAAATTGTAAAATTTCAATACTGAAAATATCAAATGATTCTCAGTGTGGATGTTATGCCATCATATGATATTTTATATATTGCCTGTAAAATGTTGCGACTTTAACTCATTTTTATTTAAAATAAAATTTTAAAATTTCAATATAGAAATGATTTTTGGTGATGATGTGATTACATCATATGATATTTGTATATCGCATGCATACTGCTKTGAACTTAACTCATATTTCCTCAATATAAAATTTGTAAATCTTTASTTTTGAAAATTTCAAATTATTTTTAGTGACGATGTGACGTCATCATATGATTTTTTATATAACACAATAAAAAATGCCACGATCTTAACTGATATTTGAATTTTAAAATAAAATTTGGAAATTTCCATTTTGACTTTTAGTGATGATCTGACATCATTAGATGATGTTTTATATAACGCTTGTAAAATACCGCACGTAAATTGTTACCGGAAATTATGCACTCAAGCCTTGAACCAACCTATATATATGTATATAATGTCACTCATTATAGCGCTTTCACACTTCATTACTAAATAATATCTACGTCTTCTCCACTTTCTAGGCCGCGATGATCTCTCACCGTCGAGCAGTCTCAATGGCTATTCGGCAAATGAAAGTTGTGATGTCAAAAAGATCAAAAAGGGCCCAGCGCCGCGTCTACAGGARGAACTGTGTCTGGTGTGCGGCGATCGGGCATCCGGCTATCATTACAATGCGCTCACCTGCGAAGGTTGTAAGGGTTTCTTTCGGCGCAGCGTCACGAAGAATGCCGTATATTGTTGTAAATTCGGGCGCTCCTGTGAAATGGACATGTATATGCGACGAAAATGTCAAGAGTGTCGCATGAAGAAATGTCTGGCGGTGGGTATGCGACCAGAATGCGTGGTGCCGGAGAATCAATGCGCTATGAAGCGACGTGAGAAGAAGGCGCAAAAGGAGAAAGAGAAACAAACTACTGGCAATTCGCCGATCATATGCAAAAGCGAATCCATTAAGAATGAAATACTCGAACTGATGAACTGTGAACCGCCGTCGCATCCAACATGTCCGGTAAGTGGTGACTAGAAATTAAAAAAGAAAGAAAAATGAGTTYTAATTGTTTACTTTGTGTATTCATTTACAGTTGCTACCTGATGATATTGCGGCCAAGTGCAGGGCGAGCAACATTCCGCCGCTCACGCGTAACCAGTTGGCGGTCATATACAAACTGATCTGGTATCAGGATGGCTATGAACAGCCATCGGAAGAAGATCTTAAGCGTATTATGGTAAGTCAATAACAGTAGTAGAGTTCAAAACACTTTAGATGCGAGAGAAAATCTAAGAGCAGTAGTTGTCGAGAGCTAAAGAGCTCGCAGGGTAACTAACCTCAAACTCGCATTAATAACTGATAAGCATCAGCKKGTGAAAGTGGTTTYGMAGTAGTCTTGAAACTAGTTYTTCTTTTTGTAAGCTGGTATGTTTCCTTAACTAATAAACGGTATTTTTTATAACYTGCACCACAGAGCACCCCCGATGAAAACGAAAGTCCGAATGATATCAGCTTTCGGCATATAACCGAAATTACCATTTTGACAGTACAACTTATTGTGGAGTTTGCAAAAGGTTTACCGGCATTTACGAAAATTCCACAAGAGGATCAAATCACGCTGCTGAAGGTAAGCACGATTCATATGTAAACTAAGTATTATAAATTACAAGATTTCCTAAACTAACCACTTTTGTTTGTAATGAAAAATTACAGGCCTGCTCATCGGAAGTGATGATGTTGCGTATGGCCCGACGTTATGATCACAATTCGGATTCCATATTCTTCGCCAATAATCGTTCATATACGCGTGATGCGTACAAAATGGCCGGTGTGGCCGATAATATTGAGGATCTATTAAATTTTTGTCGGCAGATGTACTCGATGAAGGTCGACAACGTCGAATACGCTCTCCTCACTGCCATTGTGATCTTCTCCGATCGGCCGGGACTCGAAAAAGCCGAACTAGTCGAAGCGATACAAAGTTACTATATCAATACGCTGCGCGTATATATAATTAATCGACATTGCGGCGATACCAAGAGTCTGGTCTTCTTCGCCAAATTACTCTCCATATTAACGGAACTGCGCACGCTTGGCAATCAGAATGCCGAAATGTGTTTCTCATTAAAATTAAAGAATCGTAAACTGCCGAAATTCCTCGAAGAAATCTGGGACGTACATGCGGTGCCACCATCCGTGCAATCACACATACAGGCAACGCAAGCCGAACGCGAAAGTGTGGAGGCCAACGCTTCCATAGCAGCCACCACATCCACATCAGCCGCCGCAAGTTCGTCCGCCTCCGGTTCACCCACTGACATGATCGGCGGTGGCTTTGCGAATCATTCGCCCAATTCCACATCGGTATCAACGAGCGCTATCGGCATGAACGGTGGTCTGTCGTCAGCGACGACGGCCGGTACGCCTAGCTTATATGGCATGCCACTCAAACAGGAGTACATAATGGGTCCCGGCAGTGGTATCGGTATTGGCGGCAATCTGACGCTCAAGTCAGAGCATTTAATTGGCATGCAGCTGTCGGGTGACCATCACATGATGGGCATACAACTGAAGCAGGAACATATGATGGGTGGTGTGGATCACAATACGGCGGCATAGCATCACGCGCACGTGCAACAACAGTCGCTACTGCTCGGTGGCAGTGGTGAATGTAGTGGTAGTGGTGGTGGTGGTGTTGATGGTGTTGTTGAYGGCCGAATGTTGCACGACAACGACGTGCATATGGATGACAGCATGGATGATGCCATGGATGGTGGTGATGTCGTTGTTGGCGGCGGTCAAGGGCTCGAATGAGCTGTGTAGCAGCGCAGCTAGTGTGGCAACAAYGCGCTAATTGCTTGTGATACGCTGTCTACGTAGCGCCCATTTTTATTTTGGTCTAATATATTAAGCTTTCGTTCGTTGTTAAGCGGTGGGGTACGGGCGCTGCCMAACACAGTTGTTACGCAAGGCAATGCGTTGCTGTTGGGATTTTTGTATGGCAGCTAGGCATGCAATCAAGGCGATTTGTGAAGTGAACTTGATCGGCATGGCAATGTGTGCGCGTACCGTTGTATGTATGTATATGGAGGCTTGTACTTTAAATTTTGTTGATTTAGGGTACAAGCTACAACAAAAACTGCAGTTATTTAGTGATTAAGTGAGCGCGCGCGTGCAAGTGTTGCGACATGCACCAAGCGGTGGTAGCAAAACACAATGAAAATATTATAAAAAATAGCATAAAACACACACACACACACACGCAAATTGTTGCATTAAAAGTAACGAAGCAGAATTGTAAATTATTATCAATGCTACTGTACTGTCGTCATTTTGTATTTATATATATATATATTTAACTAATGGGAAAGTTTTGTTGTTGATGGCAGACAACGTGTTTCTTACTTGTTTGTTGTTTTGCAGCAAAATTGTGTAAGCAAATTTGGAGTGCGTGACGTAGAGGGTATATATGAAAAACATATAAATTATTGTAAAAACGGAGCAAAATTACTAAGCGCTTAGTATGTAATTAATAAATAATATATAACAAGCAGAAAAAATAAATTTTATTATTAAATTATAGCGTAGCATACATTTAGGTGTAGCGGCGTCTTTACATYTAAGCGGACATTTAAAAAGCATGAACATATACTATAGGTCTGTTAACAAGACAGTCTCTTTWTGTAGTTAAACTAAAACACACAACAATAAACAATATGCACACACACATATACATATACCAACACATAGACAGGCTAAACTGAAAAACAACTGAAATAAAAAATAATTAAAAATAAAACAATTATTAAAATAAAAA